ATCCTCTTGACTAAAGAAGGAATAATGAAGCGAACTATGAAAATAAAATGAGATCAGATGAATATAAAAATTATTTGAAAATCTGGTCACAGATTTTCACAGAGTAGTGGAAATACGCTAACCTAGACAGTGGACAAGGCGAGCACTTGGGAACTGGCCCAGCGCAGAGATGCAGAGTTCAAACCTACGTTTGTACGTAAACAGATGAGAGACAGGAGGGCGGGCAAACCTCAGCCTCAGCTCCTAGGAGAATGGATGGAGGGAAGGGAAGGAGCAGTTATTGAAGAACGAAGCAAAACGTTTTCTAGGGTTGAGGGGCGTTGGTGTGAGTTCTTAGATCAAAGGTCACCACCGTCTCTCAGGCAGGACAAACAAGAGTACATCCAGAAGGCTAGATCACTGTCCAAAGAGAAAAAGGAGAGATTGTGAAAACTGCAGGGGCGGAGCCACTGGCCACCCCCCAGGAATGGCAGATCCTCTGAGGGCTCCAGCCACAGCCAGAGGATGGCAGAGTAAGGTCCACACACCGCTGAGCAGAAGAAACTGCCAATTCAGGGTTTCATACCCAGCTAAATTCTCAGGGGCCAAGGCAAAGTAGAGACATTTTTAGACAGAGACTAGTCTTAGCGCCCACAAACCATCAAGGAAAAGACCGTGCTTTAGCGAGAAGGTGGGGGAGGCCAGGGAAGTGGGTGTGAGAAGCCCCTGAGCGCAGCATTGTGCCGTGGAGGCAACTGGAGCATAGACTGCAAGAAATACTCAGTGTTGCTTTTCAAAACAGGTAGAAAGGAAAACACTCGGCTACAGTAACAAGTTGGTTGGTGATGATTCAGAGGGAGTTAGAACATGCTAAGGTTAGTGTTGTGTTGGGGAAAGACAAAAATGTTAACTTTAGGCTCCATGAGAAAAATGTATAGTTAGGAACATACTTCAACCTTGTACGCGAATCACTAAGAATAATAAACTGCCACCTGTGATTTCCAAATCGGCAGAGGTGAACGTGGGACCTTTTTACTCGAGAAGACAGGAAAGGAAGTAAAAAGAAGAGATAAGAAACTGAGATACAAACTCATCCTGGGGCTTAGGGAGGAGCTGGCTAAAGGGCCAATGTTCTGGAGGCAACAGAATGTGAGCTGGAACTGCTTAGGAAAAAATAAAAACCATCACAGAAATAAATACAAAATGGGATGAGCAGAGGGTACGGAGACTCAGCAAGGGACAAAGGAGGCAGAAGGGAGAAAAGTATGCAAAATGGAAAAGAACAAGTTTTTGAAAACCAGGAAGTGAGACCTACAGAAGACAAGCGAAAAAGGTACAACAGATCGATCACTGGAGGCCGGAAAGGACACCGGGGTGATGGAGGATAAGCAGACTTCCGTGGCCCCCCACGGTGATGTGACTTAGGCTATAAGGTGGCAGGCAGTTGGCTCCTGTGGCCTACCTGTTACCTGTCCTCAGATGAGCGCCAAGTTACTCCTGGGAGGAGAGGCTGAGTGGGAACCAGGAGGCAGGAGCATGGGCCCCTCGGTCCTGGTATTCCCCAGACTTCCCAGATCAGGCCAGTGAAGCAGGTGCCAGTCCTGGGGGGTTCTCAGAGGCCCTGCCACTGTCCAGTCGGCCCCAGGGCCCAGAAGTGATGTTGAAACCAGGTGTCTCAGAGGCCCTGCCACTGTCCAGTCGGCCCCAGGGCCCAGAAGTGATGTTGAAACCAGGTGGCATTGCATTGCAGCCTGGATTGGTATTCATTGGTATCGATTGGTAGAAGCTGCTGGACCCCGGAATTCCCATTCCGGCAGCTCTGTGGCCACCTTTGTCATTTCGTTAATCTTGCATTAACCCCTGACAGACTGAATTGTACAGGACCCACTTTTCTTGGTGTGGTGATGCTTCAGTGTTTTAAAAATGTACCAAAGAGCCCGGCCGGTGTGGCTCAGTGGTTGAGCATCGACCCACGTACCAAGGGGTCGCCAGTTCGATTCCTGGTCAGGGCACATGCCCAGGTTGTGGGCCCAATCCCCAGTGGGGGGCATGCAGGAGGCAGCCAATCAGTGTTCTCTCTCATCAATGTTTCTATCTCTCCCTCTCCCTTCCTCTCTCTCTAAAAATCAATAAAGAAAAAATATTTTTTAATTAAATATAATCCAAAGAAAGTTTATTGAAGTCAACGAAGACTTTAATTTCCATATTAATGAACACACGGAGTACCAGGGGAATTGGTCATTTCATGTGGAGACACAGCCCAGTGAAGTCACTGACTTTTCATGGACAGGAAAGGGTCCTGATCATGTGACTTTAGAGGGAGACCGACCAGACTGGCTTCTGACGCGTCCATGCAGCACTGAAATTCAGAACACAACTCGGCAACGTTGGCAAGACCCGAAGGGCAGAAAGCCAAGGACTTTCTATCCAGCCAGGCTGGCCTTCAAGTTGAAAGGCTGCCAAGACTTTTGTTTGTGTTTTGTTTTTAATCCTCACCCAAGGATATTTTGCCATTGATTTTTTTCAGATAGAGTGGGAGGGGGAGGGGGAGAGAGAGAGGAACATCAATGTGAGAGAGAGACATCGATTGGTTACCTCCCGCACGACCCCGACCAGGGCCAGGGACCGAACCAAAATCGAGGTACACGTCCTTGACCAGAATCAAACCAGAGACTCTGGTTCACACACCGATGCTCTAACCACTGAGCAACCGGTCTGGGCTACAAAGATGTTTCAAATCTGTCAAGAACTCAGGAAATGGGCTCCCATGATCCATTCATGCGAAACTATTACAAGCTCAACCCCAGTCGACCAGAAGCCAGCTAGGGCCACTTTGGCACCAACACTGAGGCAGGCACCTCATATAATTAACTACAGAGTAAAACTGAACCAGGATAAGGTTGTCGGGACAGTTTCAGTAAACTGTCCAATAAAGCAAATACAGACTGCAGTCTCTCGGCCTGCCGGGATTGGTATAACACAATGAAACTACAAGCACACACTGCTTGGAGTGAGAGGGAGCTTTGCAAGGGAGCAAATGCTCCAGATCTTTGGACGCAGTCCCATTTATTTGCAAATTTGCACCTCCAGGTTACAAGCGGATTTATGTAAATTATTTCCTTGATGATGTTTCTGCAGACCATACACCCTAGCTTTGTCTCTTGCTTTTTATGGGAGGAGACTTTGAAGCCAAAAGATAACAAACCCTTATTCAAATGCAAATAAAGCACTCAATGCACCTGGGGGGCCTGGTTTCTGAGAATGCATTAACACAAGGTTGAGAGTGCATTAACACAAGGTTACAAAACATCCATCTTCCAACCCCCAAACCCCACAGACTTCACCAGGTACAGTCGAGAGGAGGCGGGATCTGGAATGAGCTATCAGATGTTCTCGTTCATCGTAGTGGGGACTTCAGATGAATTGAAGAACATCATTTACAGCTGATAGGTTGAGGAGACGTTTATTTAACCGCGTAGAAGTAAAACTTAGAAAGGAGAATGAAACTCTGCTGTTTGAGATGATGTAGAAAACCCAAGAGAATGGATGAAAAACCCCCACAGACCATAAGAGGGTTCAGCGTGGCAGCGGGTGTACTGTGAATGTACAAACATCGATAGTCTTGCCCGGCTGGTATAGCTCAGTGGATTGAACATCGTCCCATGCACTGAGAGGTCCCGGTTCGATTCCTGGTCAGGGCACATGCCCGGGTTGCGGGCTCGATCCCCAGTAGGGGGCGTGCAGGAGGCGGCCAGTGGATGTTCTGTCTCCTCGATGTTTCTATCTCTCCCTTCTGTCTCTAAAAAAAATATCAACAAACATCAATAGTCTTTACCGACACACATGGCTGGCCACCTGTTAGAAGCTTTTGGGCAACCCCATTTACAGTAGCAACAAGATTCGGTGCCCAGGAGTAATCCTAATAAAATATTCAATACCCACTTAAGTTTAAAACCCCCGAAGACAAAAAGAATTGAGACACAACATGGTTCGAGTAGGGATGTTTATATATATATATATTTTTTTTTTTTTTTAATTGATTTTTTAAAAGGGAGAGAGATAGAAACATCGATGTGAGAGAAACATCGATAAGCTGCCTCCTGCTCAACCCCCATGGGGGTTTTGAGCCCACAACCCGGGCATGTGCCCTGACCGGGAATCGAACCAGGACCTCTCAGTCCATGGGATGACTCAATCTACTGAGCCACACCGGCTAGGCTGGGTAGGAAAGTTTAATATTATAAAATTATTATTATGCCCTAAATTAATTTATAATTTTAGCATCATCCCAGTAAATACGCCCACTGATTCCCTGATTCTCGGATAAATTCCAAATGGGTCAAAAGCCTAAATGTAACATGTGAACTATAGGCACTGAAATAAAGCTCAGTTGACTCGCTTTATAACCTCAGAGTCTCGAGCCAAGATTCAAACATCCAAACTGCAGAGGAAAACATTCTACTACATACAGAGGTTAAAAGTCTGCGTGGCCCAGAAAAGCCCCAGTAATGCCCACCTCTGAGTGTGGACTGTGCATAGTGACTTCCTCCAAGGAGGACGGAAGGGAACGGAGGGCAAGTCCCAGCGGAGGGACCTGGCCAGAATGCCTCCGCCAAGTGGTCCACTCAGCATCGCAGGGGTCAGTCCCCTGATAGGATGTGGTGAGAAGGCACTTCCCCTCTGTGTCCTCCCAGACCCACAACCCCACTGTGACCCTGAGAAAAACATCAGACAGATCCCAGGGGAGGGACATTGCACAGAATTCCTGCCCAGTCCTCAGCAGTGCCCAGGTCATCCAGGCCAGGACCCTCTGAAACGGTCCCGGCTCGGAGCAGCTGAGGAGGCATGGGGACTCGCTCTGACCTGGGATCTTGGATCGGGTGCTGGGACAAAGAAAGGCCATTAGCTTAAAACTAAGGAGACCCAAAATAAGTAGGTGTTCTGCACAAGCAGGTTGAATGAACGAACAAACGAACGAATGAGCAAGGCCAAGTTACCGCCTCTCTGTTTCTTTTCCGCAGAAAATCGCCTTCATGGTAGCACTGGGCCTGGTCACAACGGAACACTTGGAAGGTAAGGTGGCCGCAGCGCGGGGCTGGGGCTGGCCCACACCACGGGGGCCTGGGGCGGCCGGTCTGCTGGAATCAGACGGGAGCGGCGGGTCTCCGGATCCCCCTGGGTCAGATGGCAGTGCCCGAGTGTGGAACCAGCTTCTGGGAGGCCTGCCCAAGTGCCAGCGGGGGTGGTCATCCCAGAGACCGACGCACACTCCCCTGGCTCCGTGACTGTCCGCACAGAACCCAGGTGGCAGGCGGGCACTTTGGCGTCTCAGTGGAGGGACCGTGCGGGCCCCGCCCCCAGTTGGAGGCGGCACTGGGAAGTGGTGGGAGGCAGATGCGCAGCCAGACTGCCCGGCTCCCTGGTTAACAGCTCGAGCCCGGGCGAGTTACTCAGCTTCTCGTGTCTCGGTCTCTTCATCTCTAAAATAGGATAATAGCCGACCCTTCCTCGTGGGATTGTGGCAGACCACCCAGAGGAGTGCCCAGCACCCCACCTCCCTGCCTGCGGGCTTGCGTCTGCATAAGTCGAAGTCAGAACCTTACTTTATTTGAGCTTCGGGTGGCGTGACCTCACGGGTCTGTGTGACCTGACTGAGAAGCGCCGTTGCAAATCAGCTGTGAGCGTCACCATGGAGTCGCAGGGCCTGGGGAGCACAGGCACCGGCCCTCCTGTTGCACTTGTGGGGACGCTGAGATCAGAGACTTTGACTCAGCTGCCCGGGGTCACACAGCCAGGCAGCGCAGGCCCAGGCTGGAATCCGGGGCTCCTGACCGCCAGCCCAGAGCGTGTTCCATGATTCCAGTCTCGCCTGCTGAAGACATTTGAGAAAGTGAGAACACCCCCCCATAAGTCTGGATCCGGGCTTCCCCTTCAAGTGCAGGCAGGGAAGGGATGGACGGAAGAGCACAGTGCCTGAGGCACTCCCGCCTGTACGCTGAGGCCGAGGTTCTCTCCAGCGAGGTGTGTGAGTCCGAGGCCCACGGAGGGCCAGGGACCTGGGGAGGTCACAGCCCATCGGAGCCAATCTTCCCGTGAGAGCTGAGCCAAGCGGGCCTGGGAGGTGGGCCCAGGCCTGTCCGCGGCGACCTCCCTTTGGTTCCCTGGAGACCTGCTCTCCGGTGGCAGCTGGGGCCTGGTGGTGGGCAGGGGAGGACGGGCCCGTGGCTCAGCCTTCCAGACCTCGGCTCTGCTGCCTGCTGCAGGTGGGGAAGTCCACGTGAGCAACCCGCCGTCGGGGTTGGAGGCCTTCTCCGAGCCATCCCTTGGGGTCGGAAGGCTCCGGTTCGAACTTGAGTGGAAGGGGTTCGGCTGTGCTTGGTGACCTGTGAGCACTGGTCACGCCTCGACTTTGGAGCCCTGGAGGCGGCAGGGGGACTGGCCCCGCGTTCGGGTCCTGCCCATGCTGCTTAGAGCTGGGTGGCCTTGGGCAGGCTCCGTCCCACTCTGAACCTCGGTATCCTCGTCTACGGCACGAGGAAAACGGCAGCTTCACATGTTGCGGGGTGTCGTGAGGGCCGAGAGCAAGGTGCTGTGCGGATACGCTTGTGAGGGTTACTGTGCTTTTTGTCAGTAGCCCTCAGTTTTGCAAACCCTCCCCCTGCCCGTGACACTGGAAATAGCTGTTTGCACAGAGGGTCTGAGGGGCCTTACAGGAAACACACAGATACGACGGAGAAGGTTTAGAAGGAAGGATCGGGTCCCAGAGCCAGAGTTTGGAGAACAGTGTCAGCAGACACACACAGCAGCCGGGGAAGGTCCCGCCTGGCGGCCAGGGCCGGAGGGACAGAGGGAAGAATTGCTTTGGTCATTGTCCCTGCACGCAGCCCACGCCGCTCCAGTCCTCGGGAAGGAAGGCTTCGTGCTGGGGTTTGTGGGGTGGAGGCCTCCTGAGCTGCAGGTCTGTCCCTGGTCCCCCAGGAGCCCCGAGCCTGTCTGCAGCTCAGCCAGGCCGGCATCTGACCAACGGGCACCTGTTGTCCTGAGGGTCCCGAGAGGGATAGCCCCAGGCTGGATGATGGCACAGAGGGGACCCCGAGCTGACAGTGGGTACCTAGATCCAGGCACCTGCCACCTTCCTGCCAACCTGCCCTCCAGCCTGAGCCCAGCAGAGGGAGCGATGCCTGGAGACCCCAACTTGCCCCGGGCACCGTGGGGCTCGGTGCCCTGCAGACGGGCTGTGGGACCGGAGGGGCAGCGGTGGCCTGGGCGTGCGGGGCGGGGGAGGGGAGCATGCGGGGCTCCAGGGCAGCGTGGCGACGTGGCGTGTCCCTTGCAGAGCTCCAGAGCAAGCGTCAGGAGCGGAAGCGGAGAAGCACGGCCAACCCTGCCTACAGCGGCCTGCTGGAGACGGAGGTGAGGCCGCCCGCGGCGGGAGGGGCTCCCGGCTGGCCTCCGCGTCTGCCCTGCTGGGTGGGAGCTGGGGGACCGTATCGTGTCCTTCAGCCGGGCCAGAACAGTGGCTTCCCGGTTCTTCGCCCAATTACCAGGCCTCTCTCCGGTCACGGGCAATGGGGAGTGACACCCTGGGGTTGTTCCCTAGATCAGAAGCAATCGTTCTAGGGCCCCAAAGTAGGGGGCAGCCGTCTGGGGTGGAATGATGTCCCCAGAGGCCAGTGAGGCCCCGCAGGGCCTGGAAGACAGTCAGGGAAGTGTCCTGGTCGCCTCCCCGGGTGTCGGTCAGTCTGGGCCGGTCGGCCCCAATCCATGTCTCGTGAATGGGAATTCGACTGGGAGGGAGGAAGCCTGCCCCTGAGACCGGGTCCCCAGCACTGTGCCCGTGTGTAAGAGGGTCCCTGAGTTTCTCGCCCTCCACCCGGAGGTGGCGGCTTCTCTGAGGACCCTGCTCCCGTTGCTGTGTTCACGAAGGACACCATCTCTCTGCCCTGATGCTGCGGGGCCAGACCCTGGCCTTGACGTCTGGCTGGGGCCAGAGGCAACCTGATGAGCAAATCAGGAGCCAAGGCGGAGCCCTGTGACCTTGGGCCCTGGGCACCCACGCAGCGTCCAGGGCACCCTTCCGCGGGCTCCTCAGCCCTGACCCCAGCCCGCCCACACCCAGTGAGCCAGGCTTAAAGCCAAACACGTAACTAGAACAATCGTAGCCAAAGCCACTGTGAACCACCGAGGTGGGGGCCAGCGTGGCCTGAGAGTGTAGAGCCCCTCTTCTGGAATGTACCAGAAACTTCCATCTACCCACGATACACAAGGACCATGCTTTGTCCGGCACCAGGACTCTGGGCCACGTGCCGAAAGGGGTTTGGGAGCTAATCCGTAACAGCCCTGGTCCGCCCCCCATCCCCGGCTCTAGACAGACGCATGGGGAGCCCGATGTCCCTGCTATCCCTGGTTTGCCCCCGTGCGGGTCCTGACATGTCCTTCCTAGTGTGAGGACCTTCCCACCAGGAGCGGGATGGACTCCGCCCTCGTGAGGGGCGGGGCCTCTGTTGACCTGCCCCTGCCCACTCTGCTGTCCCCATGTCTGCCTCCGGCTGTGGGTGCCCAGAGCCTGGGTGGGGAGCCCGTCCCGGGTGAGTCCTGGGCAGAGACAGTAGCCTGAGGAGGGCTCCACGTGACGGGTGGTTTGGTTTGGTTTTCTGTCCCCTGCAGAGGAAGCGGCTGGCCTCCAACTATCTGAACAGCCCCCTGTTCCTCACAGCACGAGGTAAGCAGGGTGGGCGGGGCCCGCTCTGGGTGGGGCTTTGGGGGTTCTCGGCTCTGTGAGTACCCGGCCTGCCCTGCCCACAGCGGCAACATGGTGGTTTTCTAGTGGGCAGCACGTTGCAGACCCTCCAAGCCGTGGCCTCCTCCATCCTCGTCGCTGCTCTGGGAAGGAGGGCTGTGGCCCCATCTGACAGGTGCAGAAACTGAGGCCCTGAGCAGGGGAGCAGGCGAGGGTCACTCGCAAGCCCAGACCAGGGCTCCAGGATGCCCCCTCTGTCCCACTCCTGGGTGTGGTCCTGAGCAGAGCCAGGCCCGTAGTGCGAAAGGCCACTGAGGCAGGACCCGCCCACCATAGAACTGACCCGGGTAGAGGCCAGGAGGGGCCCTCGCCTCCCCCATCACAACCCCCAGCACCTGCCTTTGTGGCGTGTGCTTCCTGGACCTGCCCTGTGGCCCTGCCCGGCCACCACCTGCCACCACACAGCCCCAGTCTCTCCTCCCCCACATGGGCAGCTGGCTGGGCTCATGGCTGTCCCCACAACTCGCTCACCCCCATGTGCCTGCCCTGGGCGGCCAGGGAGCCCTGGTCCTCGGCCCAGCCCTGCCTCTAGCTCGCTGTGTGGTCAGGGCCAGACCCTCGGCCCCGGGACCCTTCGGTACACAGGGCACTGGGCCCCCAGCGCTGGTGGGCTGGGGCCGGGCCCGGAGCCTCACCCTGGGAAGCATGGGCACCTCCTGCCTCCGCCAGCCGTGCCCCGTCAGGACCTCCGGGTCCGAGACACCAGCATCCACAGACATAGCCACAGACACAACCAGGCGGGCCTTTTGTTTTCAATGAGAGGGAAACAAGTGGTCTTGGGGTCAGGAAACGACTCCTCTTCTTGGCCTCATGTGGCTTCTGACATGTCCTGTCACCTCCTTGGGGCTTGGTTTACTGATAGATCAAATGGGCCCGGAACAGCGCCCGCCTCTCAGAGCTGGGGCAGCCCCCAGGGGGCGCACACGACGACACTGTGAACTGTGGGGTGCTGTGTGCCCACGAAGCGGTCCTTCCCACGGGCTGCATTGTCTGCAGACCAGTGTCGTCATTGAAACGTGTGGTTTGGCGTCACTTATTAGAATCAGAGTGGGTTATGGGCAAAACCGAAGTTATAAACGAGTCACATGCTTCCACCGGAGTGATGGTTCTCTCCACCGGCAGCTGCTGTGTTCCTCCAGAACTCAGGCCACGATGAGCCTGGTCCATGGTGGTCCTGGCCATGGCCAGGGCAGAGACCCTTACTCCCATCATGCCCTGGGTGAGAACAGCTGTCACTGGGTCTGTGATGCTCCCATCATGCCCTGGGTGAGAACAGCTGTCACTGGGCCTCTGATGCTCCCATCATGCCCCGGGTGAGAACCAGCTGTCACTGGGTCTGTGATGCTCCCATCATGCCCCGGGTGAGAACCAGCTGTCACTGGGTCTGTGATGCTCCCATCATGCCCCGGGTGAGAACCAGCTGTCACTGGGTCTGTGATGCTCCCATCATGCCCCTGGTGAGAACCAGCTGTCACTGGGTCTGTGATGCTCCCATCATGCCCGGGGTGAGAACCAGCTGTCACTGGGTCTGTGATGCTCCCATCATGCCCCGGGTGAGAACCAGCTGTCACTGGGTCTGTGATGCTCCCATCATGCCCCGGGTGAGAACCAGCTGTCACTGGGTCTGTGATGCTCCCATCATGCCCCCGGTGAGAACCAGCTGTCACTGGGTCTGTGATGCTCCCATCATGCCCCGGGTGAGAAACAGCTGGCACTGGGTCTGTGATGCTCCCATCATGCCACGGGTGAGAACCAGTGTCACTGGGTCTGTGATGCTCCCATCATGCCCCGGGTGAGAACCAGCTGTCACTGGGTCTGTGATGCTCCCATCATGCCCCGGGTGAGAACCAGCTGTCACTGGGTCTGTGATGCTCCCATCATGCCCCGGGTGAGAACCAGCTGTCACTGGGTCTGTGATGCTCCCATCATGCCCCGGGTGAGAACCAGCTGTCACTGGGTCTGTGATGCTCCCATCATGCCCTGGGTGAGAACCAGCTGTCACTGGGTCTGTGATGCTCCCATCATGCCCCGGGTGAGAACCAGCTAGTCACTGGGTCTGGATGCTCCCATCATGCCCCGGGTGAGAACCAGCTGTCACTGGGTCTGTGATGCTCCCATCATGCCCCGGGTGAGAACCAGCTGTCACTGGGTCTCTGATGTTCCCATCATGCCCCGGGTGAGAACCAGCTGTCACTGGCTCTGTGATGCTCCCATCATGCCCTGGGTGAGAACTCGGCCACACTGTGCCTTGTGGACTCCAGTCCCGATTGGTGCTCCCCAGATGCCCACTAACATGTTCACCCTTCTTCCCTGTGCCAGCCAATGAGGACCCCTGCTGGAAGGTATGTGTCCCCTCTCTTCATACCTGGGGGGTGGGGCATGCTTTCCACATCCAGGTAGGGTCACTCCTGGCAAGGCTGAGGGGCCCCAGTGTCCTGCTGCCCTGGAGCGGAGCAGAGGGCCTTTTGCACCCAGTCCACCTTCCAACCTCCCTGGCGGTTGGGCGTGGCTGCGGGGGCAGCCCCCAGTTCAAGCTGGAGCCCTCCCTGCCTGGCACTGAGGACGCAGGGACCCGGGAGCCATGTGGCCTGGGTGCCAACTGGGCTCTTCCAGGCTCTTCCAGCCTCACTGTGGGATCATGGGCAAAGCTGCCCCTCTCTGCCCACCCCTTGAGGGGTTAGACTGGGCAATCCCCAGGGTCGTGCCCCATACACCCACATTTCTGCGACCCTGTGAGGCCCCGCCCATGCATACGTGCGTCCTGCACCCAGGACATCGGCTGGTCCTGACCTCATTTGAGCTCGTGGCTCGGAATGTACCCAGGGTGTCGGCCGAGTTTAGGTCTAACTGACAGTTCCCCAGCCCTGCGCGCCTGCAATGGTCCGGCTGTGAGGAGCACAGCCGATGGGTGTAAACTCCGGCTGTGCTGGGCTCTTTGCCACGAGGAGCCTCCGCTGTCGCCGGTGGGTGCCGGCGGGCCTGGCAGCGTTTGCCGCAGCCACCTGTGCCCAGCCCCGCAGGCACGGGGACGGGAGGCGCCTCAACCGAGCTGTGGCCCCGCAGAGCCCACGGTGCTGGCCGGGCCTTGGTTTGCAGGTAGGGACCCGGGTGCTGGTCCAGGCTTCACCTCCAGCTCACTGTGTGACCTGGGGCAACAGCTCACCCTCTCTGGGCCCTTGAACTGAAAGCAGAGGTGAGGACAGGGTCTCTGGGGCCTCCTCCAGGGACAGCCCTGGGATCCAGTGTCCCAGTGGCGTGGGTCATTCCCATGAGAGCCCGCTGGTCCCTCCAGGTCTGCAGGCAGAACATGCTGATGCTTAGAGAGAACCGACGTAACGTGTGGGGGAAGGGCTTCTGCTGGGTGGTGGGAGCTCATGCAGATTGTGCAGGTCGCAGGGGGCGTGGTGATGAATGGCTCCTTGCCCCCGGGGCTGTCCACGGTGTAGCTGAGGCTCGAAAGGGAGTGAGCTCCCTGTCTCTGGGGGTGTGCAGGTAGAGGCTGACAACAAAATGAGGATGACTCGGTAGAGGAGGGTCTGAGGAAAGGGGAAGCTGCCGTCCACTGGGCTCCTACCCAGATGGCGCCTTGTCTGCCTCATCCTGTCGAGTGCTGCCAGCAGCCGCGGGCAGATGCGGAGGCAGAGGGGGCAACAATCTGCCCCGGGTGTTGGAGACGCCAGGTTAGGCCCAGGTGCTGTTGAGAGGACCGAAGACCGTGAGACACGCACATCCTTCCTCCCCACGCAGTGCACACATAAGGACCCCACAGAGGGGCACTCGGTGAGCATCAGCCTGCCACACCCCCAGGATGGAGACTCCCAGTCTCCCAGCAGGACCCCCTGCCCGGCCCCCACACTGGGAGTCCTGCCTCAGGGCGGAAGCACCAGGGTACTGGAGCCCCTCCGTGCCCAACTCCAATGCTGTGCCCCGGAGCTACTGAAAAGCCTGCGTCACCAGCAGGTAGGGGCGGTAGCTACCTGGAGACCCCACTCACCCCCTGGCCCCCTCTCTTTCAGAACGAGATCACCCACGATGAGCACTGTGCGGCGTGCAAGAGAGGGGCCAACCTGCAGCCCTGCGGCAGCTGCCCAGGCGCCTACCACCTCAGCTGCCTGGACCCGCCCCTCAAGACCGCGCCCAAGGGCGTGTGGGTGTGCCCCAGGTGCCAGCAGAAGGTACTGGAGTCCACACCCTGCGTGCCTGGGGCAGGCTCTAAGGAACACGCGGTATTTTAGGAAAAGACTTAAACTGTGTACCTTTTAAACCCAGAGTCTTGCTCGGGGGAATGTAGTCTAAGAATATAATCCAAACATAGATAAAATCCTTGCCCTGGCCAGTTTGGCTCAGCGGTTGGAGCATCGGCCTGCGGTCCCGAGAGACTCGGGTTCAGTTCCCGCTAAGGACACGTACCTCGGTTGCAGTTTGTCCCCGGCCCTGGTTGGTCATGAGGATGGCAGCCACTCGATGTGTCCCTTTCACGTCGATGTTTTTTTTTTTCTCTCTCTCTCTCTCTGTTCCTCTCTCTCCCTCCCATTCTACCTGAACAAAAAATGGAAAAATGTCCTTGGGTGAGGATAAAAAAAAAAAAAATCCTGTGCACCAAGAAGCACCCCCACCCTTGTTCGTAAAAGGGGAAAGATGGAAACAGCCTAATGTCCCACGGATAGAAGATGGTGACACGAACCTCAGTGCCTGCACCCAGTGAGATCTGTGATCATGGAAAATGATTTTTTTTTTACAGAGACTTTGCGGTTCTTTGGGACTTGTTCACGCTATGGAATTAAGTTTAAAAATGCAAATAACAAACAGGCTTTATAGTCTGTACAGTTTGAGCACCAGCTATATCCGCTGTGTGCAGGTGAAAACCCAGGCAGAGTCCTTCCGAGTGATCGTCTTGTGTGTGGGTGGGTGGTGAGGGCAGCCCTGGTTGCTTTTTTTTTTTTTAATTTTTTTCCTTTATTGATTTTAGAGAAAGAAGAAGGGAGAGGGAGAGAGAGAGAGAAACATCGATGAGAGAGAACATCAACAGGCCGCCTCCTGCGTGCCCCCAACTAGGGGTTTGGCCCACAATCTGGGCACGTGCCCTGACCGGGAATGGAATCGGCGACCTCTTGGTGCAGGGTCGACGCTCTGCCACTGAGCCACAGCGGCCGGGCCAGCCCTGGTTGCTTTATAAAGTATGCTTCCCGCGGAACGCCCTGCTTGTACACATTAGGGTGTTCGTTGTCCCTATTTCAAAAATCACTGACGCTGCGGCTTCCGCTGTCCCAGGTTTGGCGGTGTGGGGCTGTGTGTCGCTGGGGGCTGTCCCCTGGGGGCTCCAGCCCCTGCAATGTGACTGCCTGGGGGTCACGGCTCAGCACAACGGTAGAGCTGCACGGGGTCACTGATTTGTCCCCGGCTGCTCTCAGGTCCCCAGGGCATGGCAACAAGACAGATGATGGTTTATTTATCCGCTTGTTCAAGAAGAATTCGGGCCTGCTTGGGCCAGGTCCTGCCCTGTCTGAGCAGCCTCTGTGTCAAACCCGAGGCAGGTGGCCCCATCCCCTGGTCACAGCTGGGGAGCCTGCAGCTCAGAGCTTGTGCCTTCTCCGGGGCCACACACAGGGCGTGGGGAGCCCCCACCTGCCTGCTCATTTTCCCTCTGCCCCCCAGGCCTTAAAGAAAGAGGAAGGTGTGCCCTGGACCGGGATGCTGGCCATTGTGCACTCCTACGTCACCCACAAAACAGGTAGGAAACGGGGCGGCACTGCTCCCTTCTCTCAGCACACCTCCCGCCCTCCGGACCCCCTCTGGGCCCAAGGGAGGCTGCTCCGGGCCAGAACTCTGCAAAGAGGGCGCCTGGGACGGGTCCTGTGTGCAGGGCAGTGACTATGGAGATGGCATTCTAGTCCCCACGCGTCCAGCCGGGCCCCGGGCTCCTGCTGACCTGCCCTTCTTGGCGTGCCTGGCCCTCTCTCTAGTCAAAGAAGAGGAGAAGCAGAAGCTGCTGCAGAGAGGCAGCGAGCTGCAGACTGAGCACCAGCAGCTGGAGGAGCGGGACCGGCGCCTGGCCTCCGCCGTGAAGGTGCGCTGGGGCCAGGGCTGGGGTGAGGGTGGGGGAGGGACTGCCCTAGAACCACAAAATGTAGATCCAAAGGGTCAGTAACTGGTTACTGAGGTTCCAAAAGAAGATAGAATTGCCAGTGTCACTCAGCGAGTCAGAAGGTGGAGAATGCAGTGTTCATTCAACAAATAGTTATCAATTGATTGGGCATCTGACTCTGCTCCTTCTCTGCTCTGTGACCTTAGCAAGGCCCCGGCTACCTCTGAACCACCATTTCTGGTTGTGTAAAGTGAACATACTGATTTCTACTCTGTAGGATGGTGATAAGACGATGGTGATGATAATGGTGGTGATGGTGGTGATGGTGATTGTGATGATGGTTATGGTGATGATGGTGATTGTGATGATGGATGGTGATGGTGATTGTGGTGATGATGGTGGTGGTGGGGATGGTGATGTGATGGTGATGGTGATGGTGGTGGTAATGGTGATGATGGTGGTGGTGGTGGTGATGGTGGTGGTGGTGGTGGTGATGGTGGTGGTGATGATGTTGGTGATGGTGGTGGTAATAGTGATGATGATGGTGGTGGTGGTGATGGTGGTGGTGGTATTGATGGTGATGTGATTGTAGTGATGGTAGTGATGATGATAGATGGTGATGGTGATTGTGGTGATGATGATAGTGATGGTGGTGGTGATGATTGCGATGGTGGTGGTGGTGGTGGTGATGGTGGCGGTGATGATGTGATTGTGGTGATGGTGGTGACGATGTTGGTGATGGTGGTGGTAATAGTGATGATGATGGTGGTGGTGGTGGTATTGATGGTGATGTGATTGTAGTGATGGTGGTGATGATAATGATAGATGGTGATGGTGACTGGTAATGATGATAGTGATGGTGGTGATGGTGATTGTGATGATGGTTATGGTGATGATGATGATTATGATGATGATGATGGTGGTGGTGGGGATGGTGATGGTGGGGATGGTGATGTGATTGTGATGATGGTGGTGATGATGATGGTGGTGGTGGGGATGGTGATGGTGATTGTGATGATGGTTATGGTGGTGATGATGATTGTGATGATGGATGGTGATGATGATGGTGGTGGTGGTGATTGTGATGATGGATGGTGATGGTGGTGATGATGATGGTGGTGGTGGGGATGGTGATGTGATTGTGATGATGGTGGTGATGATGATGGTGGTGGTGGGGATGGTGATGGTGATTGTGATGATGGTTATGGTGGTGATGATGATTGTGATGATGGATGGTGGTGGTGGGGATGGTGATGTGATTGTGATGATGGTGGTGATGATGATGGTGATGGTGGGGATGGTGATGTGATTGTGATGATGGTGATGGTGGTGATGATGGTGGTGGTGGTAATGGTGATGATGGTGGTAATGATGGTGGTGGTGGTGGTGGTGGTGGTGGTGATGGTGGTGGTGGTGATGGTGGTAGTGATGGTGGTGGTGGTAGTGATGGTGATGTGATTGTAGTGATGGTGGTGATGATGATAGATGGTGATGGTGATTGTGGTGATGATGATAGTGATGGTGGTGGTGATTGCGATGGTTGTGATGGTGATTGTGATGATGGTTATGGTGATGATGATGATTGTGATGATGGATGGTGATGATGATGGTGGTGGGGATGGTGATGTGATTGTGATGATGGTGATGGTGGTGATGGTGGTGGTGGTGGGGATGGTGATGATGTGGTGATGATGATGGTGATGATAATGATGTGACTGTGATGATAATGATGTGATTGTGGTGATGGTGGTGGTGGTGATGGTAGTGGTAGTGATGGTGATGTGATTGTAGTGATGGTGGTGATGATAATGATAGATGGTGATGGTGGTGATGATGATTGTGATGGTGGTGATGGTGGTGGTGGTGGTGGTAGTGATGTTGGTGGTGGTGATGATGGTGGTGGTGATGGTGGTAGTGATAGTGATGTGATTGTAGTGATGGTGGTGATGATAGAAGGTGATGGTGATTGTGGTGATGATGGTGGTGATGGTGGTGGTAATAGTGATGGTGGTGGTGGTATGGATGGTGATGTGATTGTAGTGATGGTGGTGATGATAATGATAGATGGTGATGGTGATTGTGGTGATGATGATAGTGGTGGTGGTGGTGATGATTGTGATGGTGGTGATGATGGTGGTAATGGTGGTGGTGGTGGTGGTGGTGATGGTGATGATGGGTGGTGGTGGTGGTGATGGTGATGGTGGTGATGGTGATGGTGATGGTGAGTGATGGTGATGGTGATGTGACTGTGGTGAAGGGGAAGAGCAGAAGACTGGCCATCTGAAGGTCTCATGCAGCTCCAGAGCTGAGACAGAGCTGGCTCTGAGCTCCATCCAGGAGGAGGAGAAACAGACGTGGTTGACTAGGTACCGTTGCCGCCGTGAGCAGAAGGTTCCCATGCTCCCGCGCAGGCACACTATCTCCAGCCCTGAATTTAAAACAAACTTCAGTGTGTCTGGCTACTGTTTCATTTATTTGTTGGCTGCTGCCCGGCTTTGGTGAGGCCCTCTGCCTGGTTTCTTTCAGTCCTCTGCACTAGAGGGACAGGCTTCGGGAGAGGGGCTGAGGGGTGGCTGCCCAGGATGCTGCACCGTTGAGTTCTGAGACCCTTCTCTTTTGCCCACCCTCCCCCGACAGAAATGCCTGGAGCTTAAGACGAGCCTGCTGGCCCGGCAGAGGGGCACCCAGTCGTCCTTGGACCGCCTGCGGGCCCTCCTGAGACTGATACAGGGCGAGCAGATGCTCCAGGTCACCATGACGACCACCAGCCCCACCCCGCTGCTGGCTGGGCCCTGGACCAAGCCCTCAGCAGCAGCCATGCACTCGGCCCTCCAGCACCCCCAGGGGCACAACTGACCCCGAAGGACCCATCTTCACACCCATGGAAAGTCACTGGGCCTCTGCTCACAAGACCTGAGGGTTCTGTCAGCCTTAATTGATAAACACTATGAATTTCAGACAAAAATAAAACCAGACAGAAAAAGACGGAGAAAAGAAGGGAGGGGGAGCTGGGTGGGAGTCCTGGTCCTCGAGCCCGGGCGCGTGGGAGCGGAGTCCTGCCTCCTGCACGTTCACACAGGCCAGCCAGGCCTCGGGCTCCGGCTCCGTGCCCGTGGGGAGGGAGCCGGGGACCAGACGTAGCTGAGCAGTGCAGGTAGGTGGGCAGAAGTGGGTAGTGAATCTAGGTAGGACCCCAGGCCCCTCGCTCGCGGGGCCGCGCCTGGGCCTGGGCACTCCGGTGCCGCTCCGGAACGCCCGGGCCTTCTGTCAGTATTATTCCAGTAAGAACCGCAGCTGTGTGACTTGAAACCGTGCGGCCTGCGTTCCGAGGGGACGTGGCCGTGGTTGCTGCTGGGGCGGCCGCCCCCGGAGCCCCCGAGCGCCCTCGCCCCGCACCTCCTTCCTCTCGCCGACGCTTCGGACTGGTTCCGCTCTCCGTGCATTTTTCTCGTGGGGTGTTTGGGCGAGACGGAGCCGCCGCCATGCGGGGAGGCCCTGGGCAGCTTCTCCGTTTGGGGTTGAGTCCCTCAACTTGCGACGGAAGCCTTTTATTTCCTCCGTTCGAAGAGCCGATGAAGTATTCCACTCCTCGTTTCTTGCCAGGACAGACACTATGCCAAAAAATAACTCTACATTTTTGTATGGCGTTGTTATTGTAAGATAGTTACTGTGAAGGGGGACGCTCGCTGGTGTCTTTCTGCCCACGGGGGTCTCTGCCGCACGAGAGGAATGGGACACCCCGGGGGCCGCCGGACTGGAGACATCCAGAGGGTGGGCGACCTTGGGAGACTCCAGAGCCCCTCTTTCTGCTGTCGCCTTGAGAGCGCAGGGCGCGCCCGCTGTCTTAAAGGGCTCCTGCGGCCCCGGCCGGGCGGTGCCCGCTCTTCACACCCACCAGCTCCTCTAGTCCCAAGGGACTTAGCACAACAGATAAGCACCCGGGGGCCTCGGGGGCCCCCACCCCCAGCATATCACATGGTGCCGAATTGCATTGAACACGTGTGTGTGTGCGTGCGTGTGCACACACGGCCCCAGACCCGCACACACACACACGCACGCAGACATGCAGAGCAGGGAGGCTGGTCAGAGTCCTACAGACCGCCGCGGTCCCGCCTGTCACCGTCACGACTCCGGGAGAAACTGTGCTATACGATACAGATCTATTTTAATACACTCAACACTGGGTTGAACAAGATTTTTATATTCTTTTATTGATGAACAAAGCGGACTGTGAGACACACGTCTTACACATGGGTTCCTCTAGACGCCAATTATGCATTACCGCGTGGCTTGCGACGTCCGTGTCTTCAGGTTCGTCTGTGTCGGTTTGTTTTCCTCTTGGATGGAACTAAATTTTTAAAAGATGTCATGGGAGGGTGTGGAAGGCTGAGCCCAGGAGGGGTAGCTGCTGACGTGTCTTGAGACTTAGTGTTTTGGACCCAGGAGGCCCGTCCAGTGGATAGTGAGGGTAGAGAAGTGTTCGTCTTAATACGCCCGTGTAGTTCCTCTGTACGACGCATTAAACTCGGTTGACTGCAGCGCTGTGGTATTTGTTCCCTGCCTTCGGCCAGAAGCCCCTGGGAGCACGGGGCTGGCGGTGGGACTTGGAGAGGGCGGAAGTCAGGGTCCTGCCCCGCCCCACCCCAGGGAGAGAGGGAGGCGGGAGGAAGGGGAGCTCACAGGCGCCCTCTACAGGCCGACCTCCCCCCAGGAGGTGGCAGGTGCACCTGTCCGCGCCAGGACGGAATGTCACCAGTAACACCGCCAGGCCAGGCGCCTTGCGGAGCCCAAGGGTGCTGTCCACACTGTGCCGGCTCCTTTCTTCTCAGCACGTGGACGTCACCTGCTTTTTCTGCTCCCCAGGCAGCATGGCACACAAGGTCCCACACCACCCTGGGGCTAATCAGTGGCTTTTCCACGGCAGCCAAACTGGGAAGCCAGAGCCCCTGCCCCCTGGGCAATCAGCTGTGGCCAGAGGAGGATCCAAAACAGTGCCCGCTGGAGCCCCAGGGGCCTGAGAGACACAGGACGGGTCCCCCCACCCCACCCCGGCATAGCCCACCCAGCGGGGTCTGTCTCCAGTGGGTCACATAGTTTGATGACTCCAGCTTCTTCCTAATTGTTGGACAAAGGAGGGCCCGTGTGTGTCCCGGCCTGTCCTGACTTCCTGCCTGTGCTGGTGCCTCCCCAGCTTGGCTCCAGCCTGGGTCTCTGCCGCAGACTCCAACTGCTGGGCCTTGGGGCTGCCTCCACCCTGGCCCAGGGACCCCTAGGGGACCCTCGGCCAGTCCGGCTGCCAGGTCCACCCAGCCTGTGAAGCTGGGGGTGAGGGGACGGAGGAGAGCTGGGGTCGGCAAAGAAGAGTCGCCCACGTTCCTGCAGCGTGGACCCTGAGCCCGGGCTGTGCCTCACCCCTGTCCTCCAACCCCGGGGTTCCAGCCCAGCCCACCTCGCTCCCACTGAGGGCAGGGATCCGGGGACGCCATGCCACCCCCAGCTCCTGATCAGGGCTGGATCTCCCCCCTCACTGCCCCTTCTCCTCCCTGATGGCACAGCTCTGCCCCCTGCAGTGTCGCCTGCCCAGCCAGCACCCAGGTGACTGTGCCCGTGTGCTGGGACAGCCCTTGGGGACAGCTGAGCCTGCAGCACCTCCTCCTTCCCCAGCTCATCGGACCCAGCCCCTGGAGAGCAGGGCCGTTGTGCCTCCCCGGGGCCTCCCGGTCACGCTCAGGGTTGGAGGCCCTCGGGATGGGGGGATGCAGGCGTCGGGTGGCCACCGTCTATGCGGCCTCGCTCATGTTACTACGGTGATGGGGACACCCTGCTTCCCAGGGCTGTGCCGCTGGGACACTGTAACCGCGACAGAGTGAAACCACGGACGTCAAAGTGCGAAGTGGCGAGGGGTGCCTGGTACAAAGAACCCTACTTCGCGGAAATCCACGTATCGCGGTAGAGTCCGAACTGACCGACCGCGATACGCGAGGGCCGGCTGTGTCCTCTGCCAGTCCCGGGGGCTGGGAGTCCGAGATCAAGGCCCAGCAGCGCTGGGTCCTTCTGAGGACACTGTTCCAGGCCTCCCCCTGCTTGGCGACCTCAGGTGTCCTTGGCCTACAGACAGCCCATCTTCCCTGGGGTCCTCACCCCTGTTTCTCTGGGCAGTTTGCTGGCGACTTCTGGTGTTCCCTGGCTGGGACTCCCCCGGTCTCTGCCTTTGTCTGTACATGGCACACTTCCTGGGTGCCCGTGTGTCTAAATGCCCCCTTGTCACAAGGACACAGGCATAGTGCGTGGGGGCACCCAAATGATCTCATTTAAACTTGAAACACCTCACTTCCAAATAACATCACCGTCACAGAAGGGAAGGTTGGCTTCGGCATCTGGGGGGACACAGTGCGCCATAAAGCCCTCTCCCTGGGTTGTGTGGCATCTGTTTCCCCATGACTTCTGTCTCCGGGACCACCCATCGCTGCCCCTTCTGCCTTGGCTACCCCTGCACAGCCCACGGCGGAGCCCACCTGGTCCCCCACCTGGTCCTTCCTCGGAAGGTGCTCTGGCATGTCACAGCCCCTCACGGACGGACGGAACGCAGGGACCTAAGTGACACGCCCAGGTCACACAGCACGCCTGCACTCCCAGCCACTCGACTACTCTGCCCACTGGACACGGGTCACCTCTCGGGGCCCGTGCGGATGGCTGGAGGCCACCCCACCAAGCCACATGGATGCGCACTCCTGACCCAGCCACGTCACTTGGTCTGCTGATGGTGACTTGGCCCAGGGGAGACAGAGGCAGGAGGGCACAGATAAGGGGGCACAGGTAACTGAGTGCTTCTGACCACATGCTGTGCCCCCATCAGCCCAGACCCTGCTGCTTAAACCTAACTGCTTAGCTCCAAACCCACCTCTCAGACCACCCCTGCCCCCCTCCGCTCCGGTGCTTTCCCCATGACGCTGCTCGGTGGTGTGTGATCCCCACCCCTGCGTCCCTCTGGGTGGTGTGTGATCCCCACCCCTGCGTCCCTCTGGGTGGTGTGTGATCCCCACCCCTGCGTCCCTCTGTGGTGGTGTGTGATCCCACCCCTGCGTCCCTCTGTGGGTGTGTGTGATCCCACCCCTGCGTCCCTCTGTGGGGTGTGTGATCCCCACCCTGCGTCCCTCTGTGGGGTGTGTGATCCCCACCCCTGCGTCCCTCTGTGGGTGTGTGAATCCCCCCCCTGCGTCCCTCAGGTGGGGTGTGTTGTGATCCCCACCCCTGCGTCCCTCTGAGGTGTGTGTGATGCCCACCCCTGCGTCCCTCTGTGGGTGTGTGTGATCCCACCCCTGCATCCCTCTGTGGTGTGTGTGATCCCACCCCTGCGTCCCTCTGTGGGTGTGTGTGATCCCACCCCTGCGTCCCTCTGTGGGTGTGTGTGATGCCCACCCCCTGCGTCCCTCTGTGGGTGTGTGTGATCCCCACCCCTGCGTCCCTCTGTGGGTGTGTGTGATGCCCACCCCTGCCGTCCCTCTGTGGGTGTGTGTGATCCCCACCCCTGCGTCCCTCTGAGGTGGGTGTGATGCCCACCCCTGCGTCCCTCTGTGGGTGTGTGTGATCCCCACCACCTGCGTCCCTCTGTGGGTGTGTGTGATCCCCACCCCTGCGTCCCTCTGTGGGTGTGTGTGATGCCCACCCCTGCGTCCCTCTGTGTGTGTGTGTGAGCCCACCCCTGCGTCCCTCTGTGGGGGGTGTGTGATCCCCACCCCTGCGTCCCTCTGTGGGTGTGGGTGATCCCCCCCCTGCGTCCCTCTGTGGGTGGGGTGTGATCCCCACCCCTGCGTCCCTCTGTGGGTGTGTGTGATGCCCACCCCTGCGTCCCTCTGTGGGTGTGTGTGATCCCCACCCCTGCGTCCCTCTGTGGGTGTGTGTGATCCCCACCCCTGCGTCCCTCTGTGGGTGTGTGTGATCCCCACCCCTGCGTCCTCTGTGGTGTGTGTGAGCCCACCCCTGCGTCCCCTCTGTGGGGTGTGTGTGATCCCACCCCTGCGTCCC